AAAGAATTTAAACTGCAAAACATTGTAAAACTTACATGTTTCATTGGAGTAGAATCTGAACTGACTGGTAATGATACATATCGGGTATGAGGTACATGAAATTACATAAGACACTGCTGCAGTTGTATTTTCACAGTTGATCCCAATTAAGACTTTGTTTAGGCAAAGGTATGTGGATTTTGGAACTTTTCTGATCAAAATTTACCGGGGAATTAGTGTATTTTTTTGTGATTTTAGATATTAAAGAATCTACTATAGGAAAGTTTGGAGGTTCAGATCATTACGCTTCAACATCTTGAAGCTCAGTCGACCTTATTCTGTCAAAGATGGTGCGCTTGTAAAGGAGTAAAATACTTTTTCACACTATATTGCTTTGTTACAAAAAAAGTTAAAAAACAATCCACTGGTCTTTCTTTATTAGAATGTCTATGACCTGGATGACAGAGACTTTTCAATAGCATATATTGCTTTGGATTTGAATAATAATGAAATTAATTTAGATAATTGTTCTGTTTGCACAGACTTTGGCTTACACGCTTTACCTAATGATTACTTGGCCCACTGTGATTTCTGAAGTTTCTTTTTAAATTGATTTTAGCGAGATATTAGTTCAGTCCATCTTTTCCGGTCTTGACAATCATTCTGTTCTCAGTAAAGATTTTACTGCATGCTCCGAAGTCTACGTAAGCACCTGTTGTTTCCCTGCGATGTCTTTTCATCTTGTGCTTTGAAAATAGGCTTACTTCTTCATGTCATGTCTATGTCCACCCATTTGGAAAGGGGGTCGTTTGGCTTCGTTTGTTAGACTGCAGTATCCAAATGGGTGGACCCCTTCGTCTATTCCAATTTGCATGTTTTGAAAAAAACAAGGCTTTTTTGGGCTACTGTATAAAACCTCGAACTCAACACTATTCCTGACATATTGAACTGAAAAAGCTTCCTGGATGGGAACTTGGAAACCAAGTCCAGTGGATTGTTTGTAATTTCTTTGGAATGACTCTGACCTGGATGACTGAGAACCTTCACCAGCATACTCCTAACAATCCCGAAAGTTTGGGAGACTGTTTTCGTCTCTACATTTTTTTACTTGTTAAAAATAAAGTGTAGTGTTGATGAAGACAGTTCAGTATTCAAGCTGTTGTAACTCAGGTTGCTTTGTTTTGAGCGCATGTGTGTTACCATAACAATGTCATTTCTACTGCCTTCATTTTCCATGTGTCAGTAGTTTTCTCATGGTGCAGCCTTAATTTTTATGTTTGTTACAAAATGAAACAACAAGAAGCTGGAAAAAAAAAGGCAAGCAGAGATAATTTTTTTGTTTCCTATTATTTTTGGTTATTGTTAGTGTAATAAAAATAAAGATAAGAAAAAATATCTGGAAGAGTTTAAATTTAAGAGCGCTTTGGGTAAGGTGATGGGTGGTAGAATGTGCATACAGAAGGTGTGGACAGACAGCAGGAAATGGCTGCAGTGTAGAAACCAGACAATTTGTGTGTTGATTGGACATCCCAGAGTGAACCACCTGCCTACCTGCTGCCAAAACACAAACATTAGTTTTCCTCTGTTTGTTACCACAGAGTACTACTGCCTAAGCTTGAGAAAACCCATGTGTACTTAGCTGCACATTATAGAGACCATTTGAAGGAAAGGATGTTTGTTATTGTATGTTTATGTGTCTTAGCAGGTGCACATTCATCAGACAGCTCTGGGGCTTTCTGAGTAGTAAGATCACACCACTACTTATTTTCTCTCTGTCTGCATGCACCACTCCTACTCACTTAGCTTCCTGCTCACTTAGTATACACCAGGGGCTTCTAAATCTCCCCAGCCTGGAAGGTAAATGTGGAAATGTAACATCACCCTGCAAGCTGGGCTAAAGAAAACATGAAGCTAAACGGCACTCGGGTGACACATTTTCCATGTTAAGCAGTAAACTAAAGCAAAGGAAAATTGTTTTCCCAGAGTGGTGGTGGGGGTTATACCATTTATTTAGGGTTATTGTTGATCTTTTGTTACTGTTATTATTGAATATCTGCAAAAACAAATGTATTCTATGACATTTGTTTTGTAAGTTTATTCTATTTTTTTTTTTTTTTTTGTATAACAGCCAGACTGACTTACACCTTGTTTTTAATTCACAGCTGGTCAGTCTGTGAAGGCTCAGACCGGGCCAATCACAGCGTGAGAGATGGGAGTTTTATGCTTTACACCAGAGTTCCCCATAATGTGGCAGCACTTTTCTGTAACCATAAAAGTCAAGATTACATTTGCAACAGAACAGTGTTTTATGATTTCTCTATTTTGTACAGAATGAGCAACATATAACTTAAAAAACTTAACAAATAACCTCTTAACATCCACCTCATTTTGGGTAATCTTCGCCTATTTTGCATACCCAAATGGAAAAGCTAATAACTTAGGAACTGTATGCCCCAATTACATGTGCAATACATTATCTGAAAGCTAACATTCTCTAGTTTCCTAATATATAAATTAAAATTGGGTGACTAGAACACAGACCAACCTGCATCAGTTCAAACATGATTCAGTTTTTTTTTTATTCTCGGAAATGACAGGTCTCTTTTAAACAGCAGTAATAAAGACATTCTTGAGAAAAGAGCAGGTTTTATTGTATTATTTGTTCTACATCATGTCAACCACAAATGCAGAAGATTTCAGACCTCTAGCTATAACAGTTCCAGAGCTGTGGGTTATGGAACTTTTGGTGTCAACTTGGAGCTGCGCACAATGGCGCCACCTGCTGGTAAAAATTTTACCGGTGGAATGTTATGCATTCTGAATTATTACCCCCACTTAAAACCCACCGGGTTTTCAAAAGGTGTCTTCAAAAAGGTGTTTTTGTGACACATCTCTATATATCTGGTTCTAACCTGCTTCTTCTCACTCTGTTAGTCCTGCCTCGAACTACACTTCGCTGCAGCAAATAGAAAGGGGCGGGGACGGACCACTGTCAGTCTTATACCTTATATGGAAATGGGACCATTTCATTCCGGAACTGACGGGGGCGCTAGTGACACTATTTCCTGTACCGACCGTTTCATAATAATTATAATAATAATAACGTATTTTATTTGACAACGCCTTTCAAAACACCCAAGAACACTTTCAACATTAAAAATACTAATTAAACAGTAAAGAAATGGCTACAAAACGTGATATGTCACGTGGTATGTCTGTCACGTGGTATGTCTCTTTTTTATTTTGAAATCTTTATTTAAAATTATATTAGTAACAAACAATCTAAAATAAGCAACAATAAGGAATCATTATGGAGAAATAAAATCAATATTTTGGAGACAAATGTACATTACATTAAGAGCACATTTATCTATCCATTAATTTTTATGAATTATCCTCAAGTGGGGTCATGAAGGCTGCTGACCCTGGACAGATCCCCAGTCCATCGCTGATTAAGAAAACAGATATAAACAAATACATGCTGGTGCTGAAGTTCAAATAATATATTTTGATGTTGTGAACGGTACTCTTAAAATAAATAAGTTAAAATCTAAAATATAATAGCCTTTGGCTTATTTAATAAGAACTAGATGGAAAAGAGGTTTGGTCTGTAAAACATTTAGTCGACAATTTTGGCCAACTTAGTACGTCCACTCACGGTGCACTTTTGTTGTTTATTTGCCAAATATTTTTTCTTATTATTCTCATTGTGAATATAATTTACAAACAAACCAAAGGACTTTTGAACTTTTAACAAGTGCCATTCGGTAACTAGAATATACTTGGTTGCAGGTGACCTGGCTCAATTATTATCATTATTGACCATAATGTCTCCTATAAGGACTCCAGCTCAACTAGTAAACTGACTGGTGTCCCACTATTCCATTTAGAAATACCATATTAATTTTATCAATTGCAATAAATTCATAAACTGCACTCCAAAAACATGAATATCCAATTGTAGCAAAACCCAAAGTGATTAATTAAAACCTTAAATGTAGCTTCAACCTGGAAAGACTCGCACAGAAAGTAGGTTTTAGAAAGTTCATTTGACAATAATCTTCAACTTTCTGATCCCGGCAGTAGACACTGTACTGGTAACCACCAGAGAGAATGATCTTTTTTCTACATGAAAACCTTTTTGAATAAAGTCTGTCTTCATCTCAACTGCTCAGCCAATCACCTGCTCAGGTGCCTCCCTCCCAGCCTAACGGCGCCGGTCTCAAGTCCTTCACCCTTCATAAAGTCCAGCTTGATGTGTGCAACTGCTCCTCACCTGAGCTTCCATCACCTCCACCCTGATTACACCTTCGCTTTGCTCGTTTAATCTTATGTTTGTATCTGAAGAATATGTTTCTGCAACTTATTTTTTATTACATAAAACAAGTTGATTCTAACTGTTAAAACATAAACAACTCGTCTGTATGTCAGGTTTGTAAAGAAAATTTGTATTGATTCCAGTCATTGTTCAAAAATGTATAGGAAACATTGTATATTGCAAGTTATTAGCTTTGCTTGCATTTAAAATTTTCCAATTGTTAAACAATGCTGTTACAATATATTTACAACTACTTTATTGGTTCTACTGTCTCTCCAACAAATTACAGCCACAATGTAACTTTGTGGAAACGACACCATTTCTATGAAAACTAAATGATGTAAATCAACTGAGCTACAACAAAATGAACTTTCAAAAATGTAAATAATATTGAAAGAACACATTATGAAAAAGGAGGACTGCACAAGTCAAAAGGTGAATATTCTTTATCAGAAACGATTTCAAATGGCATGTCACAAAAAAACTAACAATATGTGACAGATTTTGGAAAGCAACTTATATTTTCTTTGAATTCAATGTTGGGACTCAGGGCAAAGTCCAGGTATGCCATCACAGTAGTAACGAGGGTACTCTCCTCTCCTCCGCATCTGAAAATAAAAAAATAAAAAAACAAACAAAATAAAAAACAGGTGCATTGCAAGACTGTCATACAGGAAGAATGGATGATACATATGATTATGAATGAATCTTTCCCGTAAGATTGGCTGTATCCTTTCTACCTGCATGGTGAAGAGCATTAAACAATAATTAATACTTTATATCTCTCAGTATCTTATCCTTTCATCTCTAATGATATAAAAAAAAGTTGTCCAAATAATGAATTTTAATAATAAAAATAAAAAATAAAAATAATTTAGGGTTTTAGTCTCATTTGCACATAAAGATACACAAATCAAAATTACTAGTTATGTGAAAATTAAAAAAATGAACCTCAATTTGTGCCTCGGCTCCTTTGGCATAGGTGTGGTCATCAGCACACAGAGTCTGTAAAAATACAGATATGTTCTAAGTGAAAGATGAATGCAAGTCCAAATAACATCAAAACTGCTTCAACCCTTTTAATTCTTCTATCCTGATTTTCTTTCAGACTTAAAAAAAATAAGCATAGAACAAAAGTACACTGTGAATGGACATAATACAAATTCTATGACTTAAAACAACAAAGTGATGAATTTTAGCTACAGCTTACCTCACATTTTGCCCTCTCATCAACTTTTTTCCGCTTTCTCTCCTTTTGTAGTTCTTCTCTGGACCTTTTAAAAAGGACAAATTGAAGGTTTTCTTAAAAAACTGAATCTAGAAAAGCGTATTAATTTACTATGTGAAAAAAATTTTAAGAAGGTAAAATTACCTTTTGGTGATTTTGTGGGTTTTGCATTATGGATCATGTGACGAACACCAGTGCAAAAACTTTTCAAACTTCTTTCTTTCTTCTTCCTTTCCTCTTAACCCCGCGTCTTTAAGGCATTTATACTAGTGATTATGAAAATAGCGCCCCCTTCATTTCCGGAATGCAATAGTCCCATTTCCAAATAAGGTATGGGACTGACGGAAAGGTCCGTCCCCGCCCCTTTCTGTTTTCTGCAGCGAGGTCCTTCTCCCTGCCTCTGAAATTGGACTCTAACTGCTGCCAGACTGTTTACGTCTGGCAGCCTGGCCAGGCTAGTCTTTTAGCATATGCAAATGTGTAATTTGAGAAAAGGTTTAAATTGCACATTACAGCTACATAAAAATATGAAGTTGGAGTACATTTCAGTAGTTTGTAAAACCACTTCAAGCTGCAGTGACTTTAGCAAGATGTTTTCCTGCATTGTATTCTTAGTGTGCTGTGTAGAAATTTTGTCATTTTGTACTTATGGAGGTTCAGGTCTTTAATGCCTGTAAGCGTATTAAACCACAGACATAACTGAAATATGCAGCTTTTAATATAATCACACAAACATACATTTCCCACTAATGTAATAGCTAAAGCCTACTGGAAACAAAAGTGATTTCCAACAAATTTAATAACTACTTAGTTTGCAGAGATTTACTAAGTTCGTATGAAAATGTATAACTTCCCGCAAATGTATAAATGCATTTGTAAAACATAATTTAAAAAAATCTTCGGATATAAAACGATGCTCTGGCTTCCCAGCAAAATGGAAGAAACTAATAAGATTTGAATTTCTGAATCAGGGATATTCTTTCTTACTTGTGCCGATCAAATCAAACCTCCTTGGTGAATAATTCAATTTTCAATTTCAGTTTCAAATTCAGTTTATTTATATAGCGCCAATTCACAACACATGCCCTTTTAAGGCAGGTGTGTCTTTAGCTGTGGCAATGTTGGAAAGCAGGGCTGTTGCACATTGGTGAGTTTCATTGTTATGAAGCCAAGGCTAATATATAATTTGGGCCGCCACATGTTCTTCTTCCTGTAGGATTATTTATCCATCTGTAGCGCTCTTTGATGTGCTGAATGAGGACATTTGCAGAACTTCTTTTAAGGACACTCATATTTTATTAAACATAGATTATTTGTCCAAATGCAACTCTTACATTTCTAAATGTTTTTATTATAAAACTGACTTCATAGTGATTTTTTTCAATTCTAGGTTTGAAAAGTAGCTTGTAACAGGAGAGCTGATCTTGTTTTTTCTTTTTTTTTTTTTTTTTAAATAAAGCCAGCTTCCACATCCAGCGTCTAGGGCTGAAATAATTAAACAAATCTTGATTAATCGATTATTGGAATAATCGTCAACTAATTTAGCAATCAATTCTTTATTAACTGGAGTATAGAGACTCTAAAAGATGCCTTAGCTGAGAGAGCAACCCACTTAGAACAGTAACTATGCCAAAATTGTAAAAAAGTTTGCATTTAAGATAAAAAGACCTTTTCATCTGTCAATATTCCCTACCCAGAACTCCTCAAGTGGAAAAATTTTTGTGTCACTTGGTTTAACTTTGTAAAAAGTCTTCTTTAACAAACCTTTGACTATCCAATTATTAATAGATTAATCGAAAAAAAGAATCAACAGATTGATACATTTGCAAAATAATTGTTCGTTGTAGCCCTACCAGCGTCCAGCAGGCTTAGCTGCTAGAGGAGCCAGGAAAAAAGCGGAATAAAAATAAATGTATTCCCTATTTGTTTGTTTTTTAATATATTTAACCAAGTATGGTGATAAAATAGACAAAAAAACAATAGAATTAGCTGTTTTCTGTTTTTCTGTATTTAAAGAAATTCAAGGTTGGTTTTAAATTGAAAACGAATGAAGGGTATGCAGACTCAGTCCGACTCAAAGTGGTGGGCCTACAGAAAAGTTTTTATTGATCATTGGTTTATAGTTTATGTTGGATTTCATTTTCTTGCTCACTTAGAATGGGGGAGCACTAAGCAGTGAAGGAACATCTTTAGGCAACGACAGTCAAACAAAAAACACAATGACAATTTGAAAAAAATTATTTGTGTTCCCATAAATGCAATAAATCTTTGCAAATGTAATTAAGTTTGTGGGAAATTGCTTATATTTTTAATAGTCAGCAGCTATTACTTATGTGAGAAATGTATTATGTTTGCCGGAATATTACATTAAAAACTGCATATTTTTATTACGTTTGTGGTTTATTGTGCTTTGAGGGCATTACAAGGTCCGAGTCTTATCACTTCATGAGGCCTGATCAATGGATTATACCTAAAGTAATTGAAGCTGTAATCAACTCTTGATTACTTCTCAGTTTTTCCTTTTTTTTTTCTTTCAGCTCTGATTAGTTTTTTTTTTTATTGAGTTTTTTTTTTTTTGGCACATCCCTTGTTCCATGCATTTAACCAGCATTTCATTAGGTTCATGGTAAACTAATATACGGCTGTGATCAGGCTCGGACTGGGAACAATTTTCGGCCCTGGCATTTTTCCGTCTACACCGGCCCACCATCATGCACACAACATATTTTTGCAAAATATTAGAACATAAATTCGCCAATTATAAGAGGAACATCGTAATTTGGTTCAAAGAAAGCATTTTAGTTTTATTATAATTTAGTTTGTTGCAAAGTTTGAAGAAATTGAAAATTACACCATATGCCAACAGTCACAAGGAAGGGCTATGTATACTGCGTACATCATGTAGGTAATTAACATTGTATTACTTCTTGAGCTCCTTGTGTAATTTGCTGTCGTACGTAGGCGCATCGGCCGGAGAGTAAGCGTTTGGGCCAGTATGTATTAAGGAGGGCCGGCCCTTGCACGGCGAAATTAGGGGCAGCCCTCCTTAAAAGATGACCAGTGTGGGCCTGTCATCTGCATAGTTATGGTAGCTTACCTTGTTTTTTTCTTTTTAACTTTTTTGAAATCTGAGATAGCAGGGAGCTTGTAGATGTTTAATCAGAGGGCCCCAAGATGAGCCCTTGAGGAACCTCGCATGTGATTTTGGTCTTTGATGTAATTTTATCTACTGACACAAAAAGCCCCCATCCTTCAAGTAGGATTAAAACCATTCAAGTACTGTATCAGAAATGCCAGCACAGTTTTCCAGGCCCTCCAATAGTGGTCCACAAATTCTATCAAGTAGTAATAATATAATGAGTACTAATAGTATAATAGTAACATGACAATTAACAATTATCAGCACAAAGATGGAGAAGATGCTTCACTAATATTAAGCCCTAACACATACCCTTTATTGTGAATTTAAATTAGATGCAACTACATAATCAGAATATATAAATGCTGGATTCTGGTTCTTATGGTATAATCTTTCTCTTTTTCTCTTTTTCTCTGCAGAGGATTTTCAACACCTTTGTTTACACGGAGAAGACGTCAAACGGAGAGACAGAAGTTCAGCAGGTTGGTAACAAAGTGCTGTGTATGTGTGTGCTTGTCCTGCCTGTCTGTGCATGCATGTAGCATTGTGGATGTCTGTCTGTGGTCTGGCATTGTTTTCGCTTTAGCAGCACGAGCACAGACATCAGGGGGTTTATGAAAATTCTGTCTGCTGTCTCTGTAGCTTGGAAGTTTGGTGTCTTATTGATTTATTTTTCCTCCTCCCTCTCTGGCTATACATCCCCCTCAAAGCTTTGGACCAAGGGTTAAACAGAATAATGAGCTGTTGCTAAAATGAAACACTTTTCTTAACTCGCCTGCCTTTAATGCAAATGTCAAATTTCTGTGCCTCATTTTGGTTTTTATAGTGGAAAAAGAAATCTGCTTGGAATTTCCGGCACCCTGTGTCAAATCAGACCTAATTGAGAGCAGGCACGGTGTGTAAAAGTGTGTGTTTGTGTTTGCTCTAGTGCGTCAGAGGATCTTGGAAAAGTGACAATATACACCACAGTGGTAAACAGCCACCAGCAAGAACAGACAGGTTGACGATTGTTTGCATTTCTCTGTTTGTATCCGTCTGTGTCAGCGCATGGAGGTGTGTATGTGTGAGCAGGGTACAGTGTTTCACACCTTTGCTGGTGTTTAATGTTTCACAGGCAGCTAAATTTGGTTTTAAAGATATAGATTTAAAAAAAATTTGGATTGTTTAGCAAGCTGAAATCTAATTTGGAGCATTAACGTTTATGGTTTGAATAAGTATCTTCTCTAAAAGTGGCTTCAACTCCACAGTTGGAGTATTTATTTCAGTGGCCAGCCTAAATAGGTCCCATAAATTCTCAGCGTAACCCTCCTGAGGTTGGCTCTGACTACTTCAGATTATAGCTCTGACATAGTTGGCTCGCTGGTGCGCTCTAGGCAGAGGGGATGTGTCCCTGAGCCAAGGCCGGGCTCAATTAGGGAGGGTTTCTGCAGAGGCACAGTTGAGAAGGGAGAAGTAAGAAAAAAAAGGACAAGGAGCCACAAAGAGGTGCCATCGGCATCTTCTGCGATACTCTCCTGGTGGAAATTAATTATTCAGACTGCTGTGCAGACATCTGTCTCCGTGTAACGACGCAGACTCCCCCTCTCTGTGGCTGACTGTGTCTCATTGTTCTACTCTTTAGCATTTGTTGTCAAAGTGGTTATCTTTGAATTTGAGATGGTTTATTTGCATTGAGAAAATAGAATGATTTTTTAGAATTGCCCTAGAAGTTATGTAAGAGAAGCTTTAATTTATTTGGATTTTTATGGTTGTATAATTGTCAATAAATGGCGTACTTCTGGGTGTTCTGTGAACACAACTTCAACTTCGTCTCTGAGGCAGGTGTTCATACATGGACATCCTGGTTTGACCAAGTTTTTGCTGTAAAAAGGATTCATTAGATTGAATTATCCTTTTGCCATAAGTCAAATGTTTGTTAAAAATCTGTATGTTCAAGGATTTGTTCTAATTTAGCACAATTTGAGTGCAGTGCTTAACCTGAGGGGCATATGAAATTACTCATTTACAACAAAAAGATATAATTGATTGTAATGATATAATATTCCTGATTTTGTATGGACGATATTCTTATTACACATATTCGTAATAAGTTGAAAATAAATGAAATTGATAATCCCCATTTTATATTTTAGGTTACAGTGTGACCAAATTCTTGTTTTTTAAAGATTTTATTTTTAAAATGCACTATATTTAATAGGGATATGGGAAAAAATTGAAGTCGATAAATA